GATTTCACTATAGATCTAATCAGGGCTGAATCACAGAAAACAACGAATCTAGTTGTACCCAAGTTGGCGAGATGCATATACAGAATTTGGTCAACCTTGCAGATAACCTTGAGGAAGATGGTGACTTTTTACTAGTTCCTGGTTTCCATAAGTATTCGGTACAATAGACAATCGACTACAAAGACCTGAAACATATTTATGGATGCTACACTCAGTTTATTCTCCTAAACAAAACTGACATTCCAGAGATGTAGCACTGCTGCTTGTCACATTCTGTCCTCATTACGCTCAATTCTTCAAGATGTTTCCTGTAGAGCATCCCGTTATGCCACCAGAGACAGTCGAAAAGCGACACAAAGCAATTCTGAAGAAAATTCATGCCGCAAATGATGACCCAGAGACGGACCTTACTCCTTTGGAAAAGAGACTGTTCAGATTTGTGAACTAAAATAAGTACAATATGGCAAAAAAGAAAACAAAAACAATGTAAAAATTGGTCTCGTATATTAATAGAGTTATATGACGGAAAAATCATATTTAGAGTTCGTACATATAGATAGGATCAATGGAAATTTCTGAAAAATGAGTTGGGCAAATGAAATAAGCTTCTAGTCTTGAAATTCTTCGGCTGTGTGGAGTGTCGTTGTACGCGGTGAGAAAACCAACACTTTTACTTCTTCGAATGAATATTTATAGAAAATAAACAAATTATGACTAGGATACTAATCACGACATCTTTCTATCTTCTTTTTCTTTCTTTCTATTTGACGGATGAATAATATCAAGCGATAAAGTGTGCGTCACACAATAAAGAATACGCAAATGCGTATGCGTGCAAAATAAAAAGAAAACAGAAATGCACGTTTTTCATATGTTGGTCTTGGACAACTAAAAACATACATTCTTTGATTCTTTTTGATCAGAAGAATAAATGTAAGTAAACGATCTTTTAACTCTTTAAAATCTTATTTTATTAATAATCAAAATGAATACATAAATAAAGAACTCCAAATCCTTTTTATCATAAAGAACTGCACTAACTTCATTTGAAACGATCTTCTCTAGATTTTATATACAAAATTTCATCAGTTTCGGATATTGTATTTGTAAGATATGGATTTCTTAATATATCTACACTATTCTTTTATTTTGTATATAATATAGTCTAATTCAGACCTTTAAGGTATGCAAAATTTTACGTTGACATTCCGAAGTATAATTTTTTTTCGAATATTCAACTCCTGCAGGATGAATCCACTAAAAATTTACTATCTCATTCAAATCTTAAGCAAGAGCAGAATACGTTTATAGATTACTCTATTCCAATGATCACTTACATATTAGCAAGATATGGCGGCAAACAGAGTAGATCACTTTTAAAGAATCCTCCCTCATTAGAGCATATGCTTGTATTCTCTCAAGAAACAATGATCTTCTAAAATTTATTTATTCAGGTTTTCTTGAATCAATTGTTTTCTATAACCAATATTTGAACACTTATCTCTCGACATACGTGTATATTCATCAAATATTTTGGAGTACAATCAAAATTTGAGTTGTTTTCAGCCTGTTATAGAATTTCATCACAATTAACATGTAATGTTTCTCAAATGCCATCGTAGAATTTTCGTCAACAATCGATGCTAACTTTTTTTTTTAGATGGAAACTTCTTGTAGTCAATCAACATTGGAAATGCTCCCAGATGAAATTCTATTAGAAATCTGTAAATATTTATTATGTACTGATATTCTTCTATCTTTCATTGGATTGAATTATCGAATAACACAAATGATTACTCAATATCGTCATCATATTTCATTACATAAAACATCTATTTCAAAAAGCAATTATTTATGTGTAAATATTCTTCCTCAAATTGGTTCTCAGATTCGTACCTTACTCATTGATTGTTCTTATTCTGTCTTACAAGATGATTTATTTATTAAACATTTTGGCAAGAAAATGTCAATAACATTTCCTAAACTGGAAAGAATCAGTCTTGTTTCCTATGAATACAATCCATTAATTACTTTTCTTGATTCTCTACATGATTTAAATTATCTTGTTGAGATTCGTTTGTATGGTCTCTTTTCAATTCACATAGATAATGAATCAACAGTTATTCGATCATTAACTCAAGCGAATAATCATCGACTTACAACAATACTAATTGATGATAAATCAAGTCCTTTACATTTTCATTACATTGATTGTTACATGAATATCCTTCGATTGCGTATTACATTGAGAACAAGCAGGGATTTATCATCTCTTTTTCATGCCATTCCCAATGTTCAATATCTAGACATAATACTTAGTGATAGGAATAATTCATTGGAATCCTTTGGTGGATTGAATTTATCTCGTCTTCTTCATCTTACTCATTTTCAACTCAGATCAACTAAGCAATTGTGGATGCTTGAAGAATTGCTTATATTATTTGTCCAATTACCAATAGTACAAAATCTATCCCTTTTTCTTTCAACAACTGATAAACGTCTTATCGAAGGTGACACAATACTTCCTTCACTTCCTTCCACTGTTCAACAATTTGACTATGCCATTTATTTTCTTCATACTATGTTTGCTGATCAAATTGATGCGATTATTGTCTCTTGGCCACCATCTCATCCAGTTACATGCTTCTACCTAAACACATTCTTGTTTATTCATACATTACCATATCGTTTCGCTCGTATTTCATTTCCAGGATCTATCATAAAAATGATTTCATCTAGGGTAAATAGTAATAGCGGCTATGATAGTAGTGTTGAACAGCTAAGTCTTACGATTAATACACATTTTGCTTTAACCAAGTCTGTGGAAATTATATCACAATGTCGGCAAGTGAGAGAAATTACTTTTAGCACTAAAGATACAGACAATACCCTTGAAGGTATGTATATTGAACAAAGATATCGATAATGTACAAATAACTATGAAAATCCATCAAACAGATGTAGAAGACGTAAGGATTGCAGAATGAGAAATCATCATTGGAATCGAAAGAGTTGTTTTT